TCTAAAGTTGATGGTGTAGCATCCTTTAATGTAATCTGATATCTATTTGGAGGTTTATCTAAAGTTGATGGTGTGTAGCATCCTTTAATGTAATCTGATATCTATTTGGAGGTTTATCTAAAGTTGATGGTGTGTAGCATCCTTTAATGTTATCTGATATCTATTTGGAGGTTTATCTAAAGTTGATGGTGTGTAGCATCCTTTAATGTTATCTGATATCTATTTGGAGGTTTATCTAAAGTTGATGGTGTAGCATCCTTTAATGTTATCTGATATCTATTTGGAGGTTTATCTAAAGTTGATGGTGTAGCATCCTTTAATGTAATCTGATATCTATTTGGAGGTTTATCTAAAGTTGATGGTGTGTAGCATCCTTTAATGTAATCTGATATCTATTTGGAGGTTTATCTAAAGTTGATGGTGTGTAGCATCCTTTAATGTTATCTGATATCTATTTGGAGGTTTATCTAAAGTTGATGGTGTAGCATCCTTTAATGTAATCTGATATCTATTTGGAGGTTTATCTAAAGTTGATGGTGTGTAGCATCCTTTAATGTTATCTGATATCTATTTGGAGGTTTATCTAAAGTTGATGGTGTGTAGCATCCTTTAATGTTATCTGATATCTATTTGGAGGTTTATCTAAAGTTGATGGTGTGTAGCACCCTTTAATGTAATCTGATATCTATTTGGAGGTTTATCTTAAGTTGATGGTGTAGCATCCTTTAATGTAATCTGATATCTATTTGGAGGTTTATCTAAAGTTGATGGTGTGTAGCATCCTTTAATGTAATCTGATATCTATTTGGAGGTTTATCTAAAGTTGATGGTGTGTAGCATCCTTTAATGTTATCTGATATCTATTTGGAGGTTTATCTAAAGTTGATGGTGTGTAGCATCCTTTAATGTTATCTGATATCTATTTGGAGGTTTATCTAAAGTTGATGGTGTGTAGCATCCTTTAATGTTATCTGATATCTATTTGGAGGTTTATCTAAACATAATGGCATATACAAACCAATTTTCTCTGTTAATATGCTGGAACCTGGCTATATATTTGTTCTCTATCAATAAGGTCTGTTTATCTATTTAAGGAAACAAGATGGAAATTGATTCACACCATTCTCCAGAAAATAATTATTGATTTTTTAATGGTTTTATAACATAATTATTATATTCATATTACTT